AGAATAGCATTACGGCATCAAAATAGCTTAATTTGTCAAGTCTCTGTGATTAGAAATGGTCGACCCTAGAAACAAACATTCCAAAACAATTTATATATCATTTTCATCTCTGGCTACTGTCCTCCCAAAATAGATTGCATGTGATGGAAACGGTGCATGATCGAGTACGCAATGTCGTTAGACTGTTGATCAGAATGTTGTGTGTAAGAATATGTTGATTCTTTCACAGTATAAACTCATCACAATTGTTCAAGAGAAGTTACTACTCTTTGTATGGATGTAACTTCAGACATATCCTTTTCAGTTAATTGATTAAATAAATAGTCACTTAGTATTACAATTTATAGATTTTTTTCATTTGTGAGTAAGATGTATTAGGTTCAAATCTTGAGAATAATGAGTTTGAAACCAATTTATTCTCCTATCTCTTATGTATATATTTCGTTGTATTAAAAAATTGAAAATAATATGTAAATATATATATATATATATATATATATAGTTATTCACTTATTAATTAAGTAATGCACATTATACATAGTTAAACATTGTGAAAGCTATGTTATCATAATCATAAATATATGAACAACATGTATTAAAAAGAAAGAGCTAACTCTTGCATGTTTAATTATGAGCAAGTACCAATAACAACAATAACAACTACTAAACTTTATTATACTAAGTGAAGTTAATTGTATAAATCCTACTATGACATTGCGCTCAAGAGTAGAAAAAGTACCACTTAGGGTAAATAATTAATCTAATCCACTACTCAGATATTTATTCATGTTAGTTATGTAAATTATTCCTTTCGTTTGATATCTTAAAGATCAATCGAACTACATGTCTACAAGATGACCAGGCACATGATTTTATATATTTTTATCGACATAGCACAGAAACAACATTACAGACATATATATTACCCTACGGCCTGTCACTAGAAATCTAACTGTTTACATATCATATATGGGAGCCCACGTCTATACCCTTTCTCTTTCAGTTTTATTGGAACTTTGTCACGTCTCTGAATTTTTGTCCTTCTTATTGTCCATGCATGCACATCAAGTTGGTCATTAGAGAAAAACTCTAATTTTTCATGCTAATTCTTACAATAGCAAGTAAACAGTGTTAAAAACAATTATTTTAGCTATTCAGTTTTCAATCTCCATTAAAACCTTATGTTTTAATAGACTTTGAATATTTATTATTAACAATTCAAACTCAACCCACTTATTCCTTAAAACAACATTCTCTGTTCATTTTCTCTTTGACCAAGAGTCCACTCTTGGAATGATTTTTCAGCATACCCGGAACACGGGACAGTACGTTAGATGTTATTATACATGTGCACCCATGTTTCGAGCACACTGAAAATTCTCTCACACCCTTGAGTTCTATTATATTTTTTTATATTTAGCAAGTGAATAGTTGGACTCTAAGGTTAAAGAGCAACAGTTCATTTTACTACAATCAAGATTCTTTTACAACATCTCTTAAATATGAATTTTTTTAAGTTTGAATCTTTCAAATAAAGCTGTGGTTGTTTTACAACATCTTTTAGAGATGCTGTTAGGCCATTTCTCCTTTTGTTCTGCCTCTTAATTACAACTTTGAACTCGAGTTCTCTTTTGGAGGATAACATATGGTAACTGTGATGAACAATTGAGATCAACTGAAGATTCCAATTAACTTCCAGGACTCAGACAATGTACGTACATATGGAACGAGAGCAACGTAACTAGCTAGTTACCAGTCGAGTCCTCATCAGTCAACGCCCCATAATCTGTCTGTCCCTTGGAGGCCAGGGCAAAGGTCCAAGGATAGGGCCACGGCTTATCTTTTGAGACCTTCCTTTATTGGATCACGCTTGCACAACTCTGCAGGCCATGTAATTTATTTCCCCCATCCTTTAAGCAAAAGCGACCTATATGTAAAATAGCATGTGATGGATATTACCAATGCAAATGTAGTATATTCGTGAAAATTTTGACATGATTGAGTTCAAAGTCTTCCTAATTGCTAGGGGAATTTAATTTTGTATTTCAAGTAAGTTTATGGCAGCACATCGAGCAATCTATCGATCATGAACATTTAGAAGTCTTAACAAATTAAAAACGTTTGAGTCTTGAATCTTACTAGCTATAACCCTTTTGAGTAACGTCATCATCTTTTTCATTTGAACTTTCTCTACTTTCATTTGATATTTTGGCTTAAATTCTTTGACTCTTCCATATAGCTCTCATTTTTCTCCTGTAATGTTGCACGACGATCGAAATTGTTTATTTTCCAAGTTGCTTTTGTTAGATCGTGTTCAATTTTTTGACATTTATCACTAACCATTTGGCCATGATTTGGAGCAATCAAGTTCCATACCCTTTGGAGCTGCCAAAAATGCTTGAAAGTAATTAAAACCTAAGCCACATCATTTTCAGATGAAACTTGTAATGTTATAGTTTGGTCATTCAACAAAAGCTAGGAGTATAATTATGACCAACAAAGATTCTATGGTGAATGATCGATGAATGGGATATTACTTTGAATGTTTTCTGATAATATATTGAAATTAAAACCACACCACATCCACATATACAAGTCATAATTTCATGATTATATATAATGCAACTTCCATAGCATTCCATATCCAACAACCATTTGAAATTGAATAAACAAGTTTTCTTTTGTCCACTACCAAGTATAATAGTGTTGATGATTCGTTTCATATATATATATATATATGTTGCATTATTGTGAGATCTAAAGTGGGGCGGTATATATTATAAATTATGACATCTCCACACACGTGTATAATACCTCTTTGATTAGAAATTCCATTGTGTGTACTGTATATATATATATATATATGTTGCATTATTGTGAGATCTAAAGTGGGGCGGTATATATTATAAATTATGACATCTCCACACACGTGTATAATACCTCTTTGATTAGAAATTCCATTGTGTGTACTGTATATATACGGACGGATTTTTGGCATCACTTTTTTTTACATAATTTTTTATATACGTTTTTTAGGGGCTCACTTCGTAATATATTTTAACGTCCGAACTGTTTATCTTTTAGGTCTTCATTCAAAGATCATGTCTTCCAAGAATCAATCATATGGATTTAGGGTCTACGGTTTTTTTGTAGAACCATATTCGTCTATTTTATTCATTACAAATATATGTCTTAATGGTTTTGGATTTGTCTAATTTTTTGCAATGATTTACAAGTGAAGTTTTAAAAGATAAATCGTTCTGATTGTTAAAATATTAAAATATATTACAGAGTGTGCTTCACAAAAACTTATCTTAAAAGTTGTGTAAAAAAATAGTGTCACGGATCTGCTTCACATATATACATACATACATACATACATACATACATATACATATATATATATATATATATATATCAGGCATGTACCATGGAAGAAATTGGAAACTCTTGTCTATTTCTGATTGGCTAAGATCACAAAAAATAGACAGGTGAGGGGATTTCGACCTGGCAATATTAGCTGGCCTGGATGTCTGCATAAACAGTATTTGGAAACTGGAAATATAATATGAATCTATGATTGCGCGAGATCGAAAAGAAATAATGAATTATAATACAACAGAAACCAAATTAAGTAGTAAGATAAATACAGAGATAAACATTCTCCTTTCTTGATTTTGGATAAATGATTAGACACTTTTCATATATATTCATTTGCATGGAAAAAGAACCGTGTAGCCTAGCTGTAAATGAAGAAGCAAACACAAAGCAGAAGCCTACACAATCAGCGGGGAAAATGAAGAAGCAAACACAATGCAGAAGACTACACAATCAGTGGGGAAGCAACAACTTACAGCTCTACGAATTTTACTTCATTTGAATTTCAGACTAAATATATGCCTACATGCAGTGGCGGATCCAGGAATCTTACCCCAAGGGGTCGCAGTGTAAAAGTTCAAATAAAAATTTAGGATGGAAAAACATATTGAAAATGAAATCATAGTACTTTCATTCATAATTCATAATGGAAACAATATTACAAACTATAATTGTCCACGACGAGGTTTCATATTTTGATAACGAAGCATTATAGCTTCATTTTCAATACAAGCAAAAATATCTCTCTCAATATAAACAAGCAAGCTATCACTCAACCATTGATCTCCCATTTTGTTCCTAAGTGGACCCTTAACAATATTCATGACAGAAAATGCTCTCTCCACTGAAGCAGTTGCAACTGGTAAAACTAAAGACAATGTAATGAGCAAATATACATAATTGAATACTTGATGCATCCTTGTCTCCACCATTTTTTTTGCAAGATCACCAATCCCTTCCAATTGAGAGAAATCACTACTGGAACACACATAATGAATATAAATCTCAAGTTGATCTTCAAGTGCCAAACGATCTTCATCCGAAAAGTCTTCAGGATAAAATTGAGCAAGACGAAGTAACTTTAGTTTATCAAAAGCTACAAATGAATCTTTCAGACTCAAACATGCCATACAAATAAGCAACTCGGTATTTACCTCATTAAAGCGATCCTCTAACTCCGTAATTTGCTCATCAATGACATAATAAAGAGCTCCACACGATAATGATGACGATTTGTCTTTATTGGAGCATAACGCCTTGACCTCCTGGAAGTATAAATGCCTCTTCCATGTTAGGAACATCAATATGATGTTTTTCACAAAAAGAAGATACTTCATCAACCAATTCATCGAACCCATTATTCCTCATCCAATATAGCTTTTCCTTGCATGATTTCACTAAAGCCATTGCATTCACAATTTCTTGATCTTTCCTTTGCAATGCTTGTGACAAATCATTTGTGAGTCCCAATATGACTTTCATCAAGAAAAGGTGAAACAAAAACTCAAAAGTAAGTATCACTCTCATTAACGTATTTGCTTCACCCGCACTTTCATTGGGATTATCATCAATAACCATTTGAAGCACATGAACCACGGATGAAAACATAGAAATGATGCTAATCAAGGTACCATAGTGTGAGTTCCATCGTGTGTGTCACCGGCACGTTTGAGACTTGTTTCTTGATTTAAGCCTCGCCCCGTTATAAGACAATCATTTTCAAAAGCTATCACAAGCTCTTCTTGAAGTTGCCTTCTAAGTGAATCACGCCGCTTACAAGATGCTCCAACATGATTAACCACATTATTAGCTGTTGCAAAAAAAGAGGCAATGTCTATATTATTCTTTGCTACGGTAACAAGAGCTAGTTGAAGTTGATGAGCAAAGCAATGAACATAATATGCACAAGGTTGTTATCTCAATATCTTTGTTTTAAGGCCATTCAACTCACCTCTCATATTGCTAGCACCATCATAACCTTGTCCTCGTAGCTTGGAAATGCTCAAACCGTTGCGAGAAAACAATGTGTCAATAGCATCCTTTAGTGAACTTGAAGTAGTGTCGGTAACATGTTGGATACCCACAAATCTTTCAATTACATGCCCGTTGTCATCCACATAACGCAACACCATAGCCATTTGCTCTTTCAAAGACACATCACGTGCTTCATCCACCAATATTGAAAAGAATCTATCTTTTAGACCATCCATGATAGCATCAAGTGTTTCAAAGGCACATAAATTCACAATTTCTTTTTGAATGGAAGGAGCTAGTAATTTGAGATTCCCCGGAGCATTTTCCATCACAACTTCTCTAACTTTATCATTATTATCTGCAAGGAATTGCAACTCCAAGTAATTTCCCCTATTGCTTGAAGTGGCACTTTCATCATGGCCACGAAAAGGAAGACCTTGTCGCAATAAAAACTTAGTGCACTTGATTGAAGCAATCAAGCATGTGCGATAAGCCTTACGAGCTTGGTCAGAGTGTTTGCTCACTGCCGTTTCAATATGTGTAGCTTGATTCATCAAATTTGTAGCAGCTTCTCTAGCCTTATTATGAACACTCACAACCGGTCCAACATGCATCTTAAATCTTTCTCTCCCTTTCTTCCAATTCTTAAATCCATCTCCAGTGAAAGCTTCACTACCCACTTATTCAAAATTGGTTTTAAAGAGATAGCAATAGAGACAAAATGCCGCATCTTTAGATACACTATACTCCAAGTTGAGGGTTTGGGGGCAGCAGCAGCAAGGGAGGAGAGGAGTTGAGGGTTTGGGGGGATTGAGTTAGGGTTAGAGGAAAAGAAATTGGGGCTTTTGATTGTATAGAAGTCGGGTAGGAAGGCTGGGATTGGGGGGGGGACACGGTGGGAATTTTTTTTTTTTTTGTTCGGCCTGGCCCAAAACGACGCCGTTTTGGCCAGGTCATTTAAAAAAATTTCCTGGGCCAAAACGACGCCGTTTTGCCCGTCTGTTTTGAAAAAAAAAAAGTGCGCGCGAGCGCTGCTTCTTCTTCCTCTTCCTGCCGAGTCTTGGTTCAGGATTTTTGTCGAACAGTTGGCGTGCGAGTCCGACCCCGACGACCCCGACGACCCCAGCTCCAAGAGGTCGCATATGGGAGCTTCAAGGTTGTTTCCATGGTTTCCAAGGGGTCGTGCGACCTCGACGACCCCACTGTGGATCCGCCACTGCCTACATGTATATATGGAGCACTTAGAAAACAAAGATTTTTGCACTTAGAAAACAAAGATTTTTTTTGTTATTATAGCAAAACAAACATGACAATCTTATAAGACCTTTTATATATTTCATTGTTTTCCTCGTTTTGACTCCCAAATATGACAATTTTATACAGTACTTACATGCTCCCGCAGAAACCATATATTGTCTCATTTGCATTAATAATGCAGTTCAATACGTGTGGGTGTTGTAAGTATGGATGTCCCTAGTGGCAGTGGGTTGGATAAGCCTTTACTATTCATTGGAGACTTTTTTGTGGGGTAAATAGTTCTCTCTATTTGTTACAACATACTTTGCTTTATGATTGTGTACGATTGTAACTGTTTGTGACTTTTACTTATATATATATATATATATAGAGAGAGAGAGAGAGAGAGAGGATCCCCATTTCTTTATAAAAATGAGAATTAGTTGTGGGTCCACACCACTTCGAACTTTAACGATCTGAATTGTCTATTTTTCAAGTTGTATTTCATAGATCATTCTTGTAAAAAAATTAGATAAATCAGAAATATTTAAGACATCTAATTGGATTCAAATAAATGAACGAATACTTTGTTATATAAGAATCAATTAAATTTGATTTTGATAATTAAATAGGCAAATGGTTTCAGATTGAATTGAATTTTTGCAAGAATGATCTATGAATCGAGACTTATCAAATAGATAGTTCGGATCGTTGAAATTCGATATGAAGTGAATCCCTTCGCATTAAGGGCTTGATATATATGTATGAGTCATATTGTGACTCCAAAAAAAACACACTGAAACAACTTCACTTTTTCTTTACAAACAACATAAAAGATCAACAACAGAAAACGATAATACAAATCTCTCTCCCATCTCTTCATCTACATTATTGTCTTATACGTTTAAGAAAATAAATAGTGTAATACATTGCTCCCGTTTGACTTCAATTTCTAGCAAAGATTTCCTCTCTTTTTGCCTATTTATAACAGTAGGGTTTGTAAATTTTTTATTGTTTGAATTATAAATGTAGATTTTTAATTCCCTTCCTGTAACTTTTGAACAGTATTTGCATGGCTTCGATGAGATAATGCATGCCCTAAACCCTAATGATCTGCACTTCTGGCCATAAACGTCAATTCGCACCTCATCCTGTTGTGGATCTCTCCTTTGAGTTCCTTCCATTCTTCATTAATGGAGTTAATCCAAACTAAATATTCTGGTGCAAATCAGAACCATCAATGGTGGTAATGTCCAAGAGGGATGAGACGAAAACCAAAGATACATATAGGATGAACAAAATAAAGGGGATAAATGTATGAACAATAAAAAGCAGTGATTTTCCCCTTCACGCGATCACCTTTTTTTATATTTTAAGATCTTGAAAGTGACTTCCATTTAGTCTGTTTTTCAAGAGATTCGACTGCCCAAACGTCAATATAGACAAAAGTGGATCCATCCTACGTTTGTTTTTTCCGACATTACCTGCAGTGTCTGGAACTGAATAATTTAAGGCCGTCCTTCTCAAGTGTTACAAGTTGTCACAAAGAACCAAAGAGCTAAAGGAAATTTAATCTTAGCTGTAAATGTAATTGCCTAATATCTTGCTTACTCAAAACATAAAAAGTCACTTTTGCACCTCAAAATTGAAGATTCATGTGTTACGTACATAATTTGGTCTATAAATTCGAAGATTAACATACTTACATTCGCTTGAATATAATTTTGTGAAGATATACAAACCATCATACTATTAAAAGTGGCATTTCTGTTGTAAGAAAGTTCTTATAATCTTAACTGACAAAATATGAAAGTTGCTTAATATTTTGCTTCCTCAAAACTCAAAAGTAACTGTGCAACTCAAAAAAATGAAGATTTGTGTACATAATTTTGGTCTATATATAAAATCTGGAGATACACTTATCTATATTGATGAGAAAACAACTTTGAAAATATACCAAGACAATCTCACAATACTACAATAACATCCCCGTTACAAAGAAGTTCTTCTCATAAGTTTGAAGCTTGCCCAATTTTGTTTTTATTTAAAGCTACAATCCACATTAACTGAAATCGCATGTTGTCCATCTCAACTGCTACAAGTTGGTGTAGAAGTCAATTAAATTTAAAGCTTCAGAACAAATTTTTTGGAAAGCAATGGGAGCTTCAAATTTAGCTGGATAATTCATCTAGAATAATAATAGAATCTTCTCTTGGATTTTATGGTTTAATAAAATTGTGATTTATCTACCTAGAGGTGAAAATAATAAAACAACAAAAATTAAATGACATCGTCCGTTAAATTAGATCAAATGATACGTGATGGTAATTTCTTTGAGTTATAGATCCAAAAGAAGGAGACTAATATTAGATTAAGCATGTTGCGTCCACAAAAGTGACTATTACCTGCTCTGCACAAAAAAAAATAAAAAATAAAAACTGGTGATGACTTTTCCTTCTAATTCACCCATTACCGAAAACAAAGAAAGCACTTGCTTCACATATTGTATAAAGCTATTGCCTATTGCAGAAGGCCAATGACCCAAAGGAATAAAAAAGACAACGATTTGGAGGTCATGTGTTCTGACTTCTCACTATTAAAATAATTCAGAACCAATATATTTCAAAAGTAGAATAAGAGGAAAAATTAACATAAATTAGTAATTGTTATTGACACTTTGAAAAGTTTATTGTCCACGTTTTACTGGTATATTTTTTTTCTTCTAAATATATAAAGTTTATAGTGCAAAATGAGAATTTTGATGCGTCAATAACAATTTTTTTTTTTTTTACAAACTATGTTGAGGAGGATTTGAGCTAAGCCGCAATCAGTTAACCACAATTTAATATCAAGTTTGTTATCTATAAGAGTTAAATCTTAAAAAAAAAAAAATACTTATAAATAGAGGAAAATACTAATATAACGCATTACTAGAGGGCTACCAAAAATTAGTTGTTAAAGAAATAAATAATGACAAAGGTGGGCACGATTTATGTTCCATCCCAAACATAGTAAAGTGAGGAAGATGGGAGGAAGCGAACAAGGAAGAAGAAGGCGTAAACCCTGATATGACCTTGCTTGCCTCATCATGTTCCCTTTCATGTTTATCTCACTTGTTAATTAAGGTTCTAATCTATCGTCATTCCCTTTTCTAATCTTCTCTTTGCTTTTTGTTTTAGTTAATCTAAACCTTAACTTCAGTTCTAAAAAGCATGAGGGGTTTTATTTAATTATTTATTTGGCCAGAAACAAAAACATGAGGCTTTTTTATGTAGATGCTCCTAACTTTTACACATTCTGATACCCAAATGTTCTCAATATTTAAATTCTCAATAATACTGATGGTCTCAGATTAAAAACATTTTGATAAGTGTGTGTGGTCATTATCTATTCGAGTTAGACCGGTTGGTCAGGAATTAGATTGAATGATCTTTCACATGTAAATTGACTGCCTTTTTTGCTTTCGTATTTCCTTTGTTTTTCTGGTGGAGATTGGCAAAGAATGGTGAATCTTATCTTATCTACAATCGTATGTATACTACTCACATACTAAATTCAGTTAAGCTCATTTTTTTAGAAATTGTTATCCAACCTTTTTGTCTATAAATGATAAGATATCTCCTAAATTTGAAATAAATTGATATGTTAATCAATTTATGGCTCGGGAAGATAAAACTGTATTTGTTTTTTTTATTCCGAAGATAAAATTGTATTTGTTAAGATGTATGTAATTTTGTTGGTGGTTTTGGAGGCAAATTCTCTAATGTGGCTACTTATGAAGTGATTGAACGTCTAGTTGTCAAGTTTAAAGTTTTTATTTTTTATTTTTGGGCATTGGCTATGTTTCTTTGCTACTTCATATGTTTGTCACGCCCATGTATATGTCAGTATGATGACTATTAGATCAACCAAGTTAACCTTATTTTGTGTTTTCAATCATTTAAAAACGCTTCCCAAACAAGCCACAAATTATCCATATTTTACACTGAATTTAGATTTATTTATACAAGGTAAATTTTCTAAAGAAAATGTTAGGACAAAGAATATAAATAAAGAAAACAAATAATGAAAATCACTTGTCATTTTATTTTTGGTCATGGCTTTTAAAATTCTCCAATCTGTAGATTCTTATATGGATCTTAAGCGAACCTTAACAACAATCAATGGAAATTCGAATTCCATATTTTGTTGTTTCCCCTTCTAGTAAGATTAGCTTTACAAGTTAAATAAATGTTGCCATTTATATTATAATTAGAGATTAAAAAACCACTTTTCTTGTTTGATTAATTAATCCAGAACCCATATTTGCGTGGAATATGACAGGGTCTGTAAAAACAAAAACAGAAAATAACATGACAGAATGTTTGTTCTACTAATTGGGCGGGTGTAGGGTCATTACCATGGGACTCTTGTGATCTCTACATCCTACAATTGATCAAAGAGTATGTTTGTGTTTCTCTAGAAAACGTTAATATGTCACAAAAGCACTTTAAAGTTTTCTGTCAAACGAAGCAATAAGAATTTTTTTATTAATTTTATTGTAGATTAAGTTATCAACTTAAATAATTTTATGTTACACCGAGACACAAATAATCCTACGAAATGATCAAATTGAAAAATTGTCGCTTGAACGTCCATCTTCTTCCCCTACTGTTTCTCTCCTCCACGTCCCTTTCCTCTCTTCCTCTCTCTCGATCGTTCACTCCCCTTCTCTCATGAGTTTTTTGTTTTTTGTTTTTCTTTTTCGCATATGAAAAAGAAAGAGGGACTTGTTTTGAAAAAAATCATATAAACAGGGTTCATGCGTTTAAGAAGAAAGGAATTCCAATTTTCAAAACCACATAATCTTAATTTTTTGATACTTTGTAATTAACTGGTTTGAATTATAATTTATAAAAGCTGGGATGAAATTAGATATGCAAAGTTAATAAGATTTTGTACAATTGGATATGGTTGGTTTAGATATTCGATGAGGAGATTAGATTTTACAAATAAAAGAGATTCGGAGAATTATTTAAGTTGGTAGCTTAATTTATAAGATTAATCCGGAGGTAATATAAAAAAAATTATAACGCAAGTGATTAAGGAACAAAAACGTCACGATTATAAATTAAAGGAAAACTAATGAAAATGGCTTGAAAACTTTGAGTTTTAATGATAAGGACAAAATAAAGGGTAAAATGAATAGTATCATGATTGACTTTTTAGTGTAAAAATGTGATTTTTCGTTAAAGTGAGTTTTTCGTTAAAGTTCCTTAATTAAAGGTCCCTATAATTAAACACCAACTCGTGGTATAAAAAACACTCCCCACATGATCACATTCTCGCATCCTCACTCCCTTTCTGAATTTCTGTCCCTTCCTCCGCAGCCAAAACTACCAACCTCTCTCTCTCTCTCTCTCTCTCTCTCTCTCTCTCTCTCTCTCTCCCTCCAAGTCTCCATTTTCTCTTCTGCAACAGGGTTTCGTTGAAGAAACAGGATAAAAGACTTAATCTTCTCTTCTTGGTTATTACGTGCGTTGGGGTTTCTAAACTTTTTTCAACGACTTGGGCAGTTGGAAGAAGAAGAAAAAGTGAACAAAATAATCAGAAAGTCGCAGCCTTCGCGTACAAAGTGAGTTTCTTTCGTATAATTCACGGGCTTTGTTTCATCTGCTGTTTGTTTATTCCAGTTAAATCCCTCCAGTTTTGACTTTTTTGGATAGTTTTCTTTCGATTTTATTTTTCAAATTTTCCTATTTCGCAATCAGGTGGTGTCTGGTGATTGTCCCGTTCGCTACGCAATTTCTGACGCTCCTGATTAGACCCCTTCTCTTCTCCTCCTCCATTTATCTGTTCCTCTGAGCTTTCATTTTTCTACAGAGCGACAGAAAAATGGCGGAAAATCCAAAGTTGGTAAGCAAAACTAAATTACACATTTTCTGGGTTTTATTTATTTTTTAATTGGGTTCTCGAAAATTGCTCCTTTTTTTGTATTGTAACTGTTCCGTTGGAGTTCCAAATTTTCAGAAAAGATTTTAATTAGTAATTACAGGGACGCTGTTTCTGAATTCGGGTTTTTGGATTTTGGTGTAGGATTCTGATTCTGGGGAGGTTTATGGATTAGAAGAGAGAATGGGAACCCAGAAAATATCGGTTTCGGATCATATAAACGGGTTTCATTACACCGCCGATAAATCTGACAGCTTCGTCATCGACATGGAAAGCTTCTCCCATGGCGGCACCGATAAAGATGCCACTGCAAATTCTAGAGTCTCGGTAACTTTCTTCTTCCTCCCATTTATTTATTTTTTTCTTCATAAGACTCTGCATTTTCCTGTTCTTTTTTTTCTCTTCGGATTTCTTAAAAGTGGCATTTCTAATAGCTATTCTCCCAATTAATCATGTAGTTCAGAATGTCGTTCGGTTAAAAAAGAAGAAAATTCATGACATTCTTGAAACCGCAATCGTATTTGTTTCTCAAGCAACAGCAAGCATCACATTTGTTTTTTAAACTCTGTTTTTTACCCTTCTTTGATTTCTTTTTCCATTTTAAAATTAAAATTGTTGACAAATTATTTATGTTTGATGATAAAGATGCAGAGAAATCTTTCCCGGAAATGGTCTCAGAGAGGTGGGGAGAAGAAGATAATCTGCAAAGGAGTTTCAAACGACAAAGAAGTTTCATCTACAACGTCCTCACCCGTAGGTAATAATTTTTTTTTTATAAAAGCGATATTCTACTTTAAATTAATTATGTTTGAAATTTGATAAAAAAGATGATTAACTTTCTGTGTGGTGAGAGTGATATAAATTGATGCTGAAATGGCCTTCTGGGGTTGCAAACAGTAAGAACAAAATAAAAAATTGGACATACTTTAGTGTGTGCCATATTTGTGGTAATATTTAATTGTTATCACCAACCTTTACATATTATAATTGTTTCTTTATCATAATTAGTAAACTATATTAAGCACTCCACAACGTACTGTTTATTTGAAATGTCTCTTTACGACTCACATAGTTTGATGCAAGTTTATGTGAGACTCTTTTTAAACTCCTGTGATACTGGAAAGTGGGAAATCAAACTCGAGACGATTGAGTTAGAAACCCCTTGCATTATCGTTAATCATTTGTTAGTGTCCCACCTTAGATAAACTTATGGGTATTTGAAACTTGTAAGTTGGCGATTAGTTAGTGATAAGCATGAACCCACGTCCATAATTCAAACTGGAACCGACTCTAATCAATTTTAAGTGGGGCCCTTGGGTAAGTAAATTTTCAGTTGTGACAGTGAAATGCAACCAGATTTTGGCTAGGTCAACCAGATGGTACAGTTGATGAATTCTTCACTTTGATTGCATTTTTATGGATTGTTTAGAAGTGCTTTAAAATTACTAAAAAACGCTTTTGGTGAAAATATTTTTGGAACTAATCCTTAATAAAAATGCAACCGAATCTTAGAAAAACATTTGAAGTGCTTCTTGCAGAAACACATATTCATTTGCTTATTGCAGGAAACACTTTAATTGCTTTTGGTAAAAGGATTTGCTCAATACCTCCCCCCTTTGTTTTGATTCCCTGTTTGGAGGCATAGGCAGTTATATGCGCCAGCTTTTTGGGAAATCTGACGTTGAAATTCTAGTTAGCAACATGTTCTGTGCACATTTTGGTATGAAATTATTGAGTTGCAGCTACTATTGTAGGGTCTAGCACGCCTGAAAAGTCCCCACTAGCTGTTGGTACCATAGATCAATCGAGCAACCCACACGTTCATCATCAGATCACCGTCACCGCGGCCAACATTAGCACCACCACCGAAGGGAGGTGCGTTGTACGGAGGAATAGTTTCCGGCGCTCTTCCTCTTGGGGCATTGATCCCAAGAGGGTTCTCCTCTTCTTTGCCACCATGTAAGTCTACTGATCTTTTTAAACCCAAAACACTAAACTCCATTAATTCGACTCGGTGACCAGAAGTGATCGTTTTCGATGGCAGGTCAAGCGTTGGAACAATCTTACTCATATACTTCACGCTTTCGATTGCCAAGTACAATGCAGACGAGAACAGTCTTGATTGGCAGCAATGATACAAGTTGTACACCTTCTAGTTGAATTTAAGACACGAAACGATCCATGACGGAAAGGTAGCTAGCTAGTCGAAAAAAGCGGCTTCTTTCGACGAGAGATACGGTTTTTTGGATCGAGAAAAGCTAACAACATTCCATCAGCATGTCTTGGTACAGAAATCGAAAACTCCTTTTTTGAGGCACTATACAAAGTTTTAGAAGTGAAGACAGAGACATACTGCATTGTGACAGGAAGGAATCTTAACTTTTTTTTATGTAGACGAGTGAGATGAAAATACTTGATGTGTTCTTTGTATGTAAAGTGTTTCTTTTCAATAAAACTAATGAAAATGACTTGAAAATTTTAAGTTTTAACAATAAGAAAAAAATAAAGAGTAAAGTAAATAGTATTATAATTGATTTTTTTAGTGTAAAAATATGATTTTTCGTTAATGTGAACAGTATCAGGAACTTTTCGTTAAAATTCCCTTTCTTTCTCTACATAGATTAGTGGGGAGGATCAGAAAGTCAACTCTTTTTTCGGTTCGCCTTCTCATCTTTTGCCTTGTAATTTACTCCACACGTCCCTGTTTGCTTTTCTCTTTCGGCAATCCAACTTCGGGCGGCCGTATTTGTTGTGTGTGGTGGCTTCCAAGTGAGTGGACAAATGGACGGAAACAACGACGAGATTGCTAAGCAAACAGTAATATTAATAATGGCAATTTGGTCTTCATGCATGCGCAGTTGGAGCTTTTACTTTTAAGGAAGTTATATATTTTTGGAGTCCCAGGAGTGCAATGGTGGAATTATATGCTTGGGTTTTTCTGAAAGGCCTTTTCCCTGTGGCATTCAAAACCACATAACATGACATCTCCTGTGCAAACATAAGCAAAAAAATAAAGATAAAACTCCAAAAGGAGAGTGGTTGGTTTTATAGCATTTACAAGTCACGTCATGAGAACGATGGGAAGGTAGAATGTCTCCCAAGTAGTCATATTGGTACCATTGTGGCTAGTGACGGATTTAAGATTCGAACATTGGAGGGTCTTAATGTTAAAGGTCTAAGTCTTTTAATAGAAATAGAGCACGTAAGAAAATTTTAGTGTATTCATTGAGGCATTTTATCGAACATTTGGTTGACTTTGTGTTGCCAACTGAACCATGTTGTGGGCATATCAACAAATATCTACATATGCCGAAGCAACCTCATGAGTGCTATTGAGAGAACTTGTCGGGTGCTCGAACCAAGTGCTGTCAAGATATGCCTAACTTGTATTACATCAAACCCTTGTGGCCACACAAGGAACCGTACCAAACATTTGAAGGATCCTCAGAAGACCTTCACATGAATATTTCTCGGACTCCGGGTGGTCTTGGGACCACCTTGGTCCCAATGTACATCCACCACTGATTGTGGCGATATCTCAAGCTAATCACACACTAATATTTTGGGTAGGGAATACTGCCACAATGCATTCTTAGATGTATATAAGTCATGCCAAGAGAATGATGAGAAGGATATCCCCCAAATCCAGAGTCACAATTGGACTCTGAAAATAGTTTGTGATACGTTTTGCTTTCGGGGACTAAAGATTGAATATTTAAGCAAATGTGGGTTAGGTCAGTTTGTACAATCCACAAAATCTTCCCTTGCAAAGTTGGCAATCAATTCCTACATCACACACGAACCTAAAATACAATCTCACATAAAAAGTTTTAATTCTTTCACCCACCTATACTACCCTTATGCAGAAAGGAAAATTTTCACCGTTCTCTTTAAAGAGTCTGGTTGTTTTAGGTATCACTTGGTCATCTACGATTGGTAGCAGTTAAAGCTTTTAGTGCTCCCTAATTCCAGTGAGTCATAAATTACAGAGGTCAATTTAGAATTTAAGATGAAGAACCTAACATATGGTGACGATTTACAATGAAATATAAAAAAGAAACCAAATCAACAAGGCATTACATTGGAAAGAAGTAAATGTCTATACTAATAATGACACACTCAAAATCGCTCAAAATATTGCATTCTATGTAATCAGGGTTGTCCAAAACACCCAACACGAAACCCAACCACGCCATGAGTAAACAAAAAGTGTGGCATCTGGGTCGAGCCTCCTGAAGTTGCATGCCATGCACTGGTAAATGTACATGTAAAGTTATAAGGTGATGAAAACCATGAGGATAATTCTGTCTCTATTTCCTGCTAATTCATCAGGATATAATGCAAATGGTGACGGGCTTGTACATTCGAAATGACAACTAGCATTTTTAATTTTGTATCATACGCGTGTGCAAGCTTGATTCAAACCAAAGAAATCTTTTCAGCAGAGAAACTGCATGGCTATACTCGACATTCATGTATTGGTAACACTATATCTATGTTTACGATGTACCACAGGTATATAAAATAAAAGAGGCATGCCATTCAGCATATTCTTACCTCATGTTTTGGTACAACAAATATATTCACGTAAAGGTAACACTATATATGTTTATTTATGTATGTATCAAGGGTATATAATATAAAAGAGGCATGCCATTCAGCATATTTTTACCTCATATTTTGGTTTGCAGACAGTTCGGATGTTACTTCCTTGGTTCAAAATTTCCGTTTCTAGTAGCGTTTTGATATTCTTGGCATAGAGCACTTGTGCTTCCGGTCGTGATAAAGTCTCAATACAACAGCTGCAGTTTCTTCTATTGCTTTTCCTGTTACTTCTGCAATCAACAAAATACGAGCACGATTAACTTAGGCAATGATTACTATATTAATCTTCACATTACCAAATTGATGCCTAAGAGGAAAACCAAAGAAGAACACACTAAAAGAAAACCGATATGTGTAAAGATGTGAAAGTGCAGTATTCTCACCAATTACTGGCCAGACAGGATTCTGTGCAAGAATCCTTCGAGCAAACTCCCAGCTCCTGTCTGACATAACCATCTCGGAATAAGTTACTCTTCATCCTCTTCACTGAACCCCAGAGTTCTCTGTGCCGTTCCTAGACTGTTGACATGCAACACATAGAGGATTGAATAGTTCACTCCCAAAATTTCACTAACTTCCGGTTAGCTCATCAAAAAGGGTCTTTGCAACACGGGGCAGTCGCTGAAAACCCCGAACACAATAGGCTACATTCTGCAACCTTGTAACCTTTTTGCGAAAGACAATATGATACAATGATGCAATGGGTCTTTCCCAGTTCGTTGCCGGCAAGAACAATGTCAGCCTTTGTGCAAGTCTCGTTTCTGGGGCAATGCCCATCATCTTGGTTTTGAAAACTCAATGGCTTCAATCCTCAAAGTGATCAATTCCACCATCATCTTGTTTGGATTAAACCAAGAGGCTTCTCCGTAGGTACTCATCACCGACGAGCTGGCGTAAAACGCCCCCAAATGCAAATGGTAGCAATGCCCTCAGTGATTGGACCTAACATATCTGTCGTTGGTATGCCCCAGTGCATGCATGCTTGCCGGGCAGAGTCTGCCATTGACGGGTCAGCTAAAGTGTACACAAGCATAGCACCTTCTTTTGCAGCTTGCTTTACAATCTCCATCAACCTCTCTACATCATCAATCTGAAAGATTTCACAACACCCCATTTGCATCTAATTATAATACAACAATCAGGGCACACAGGGGCAGTATCAAGGATTACAAAATTAGAAATTCAGATTAAGTACTGATTTGGTCTACTTTCATTTCACATAAGCCACAAACATCATAGTAGAAGAGATTATAAACTTATTAGAAAATTTAGATTAAGTACTAATTTGAGCTACTTTTTCTCACTGAGCTACAAATAACACGTATAACATAAATTTGTATTATAAATTTTGATCAATTTGGATAATAGTATAATTGAAAGATTGCCACCTCAAGTCCTAGTCAGCAGTTTTCATAGTCAAAACTGTTTACCTTGATTAGTGGTGATCTAATATATAAATACTACTGTGCAGAAAATCATTATTATTCAGTTTCTCCTTACTAATTAATTTGTGGGTGTTTTTTTTTTTTTCATTTAAGCTACAATACGTTAAAAGTCCAATATCGAATATGTTAATGCGAATTCAGCATATGATGAAGTTCATTCATGATTATCTAATTTTATGCCCGGCCATATATGACTCAGATCGCTCTACAATCTGTAGCTTATATTTTCAGATCAATTCAGCAATCGGGTTTTGATGTTTGATTTTAATCATTTTTACCAATTTCCAAATTGATATAAAGCAACGACCACTGCATTACCCCATGAAAACAAATGGGTATTGAGGTGCGGCACGCCGCTCTTCCGACCCAAGCAATGCTCGAACTGCCCCAACGCGGCGGGACAGAGTGCTTCCACCGTCCATCCAGTTCTCCTTCTCAGAAACGCATGTATATCGACTTCCCCGCCGTCATCTCCGACTCGTCATCGCTACATACGCCGTTCGCCGCAGGATTCCGCTTAGGCCGATAAGTAGTTTATAATCATCGAGGATCTAGTCCGATACGCCGTCGCTGGGATGCAGCGGAGGGCCTGTCGGCTCCAGAAATTGCTCGGTCCTTTGTCCCCGCGGTCCAATTTCTGACTACCGAGCGTATGGCCCGGTGCCCGGGACCATCGTGCCACCTGATGCGCTGCCCTATTGATTTTCCGGGCATGTGGGTCAAACAACCGTATTGTTCGGGTCAGTCGGAGGCCTAGGTCTACATTAGGCGCTCTGATCCTTCGGAGTCAGTTTGGGGATTGGCTTCCCGCATGGGTATTGTCTGTGCACTACTTCTGGCAACGGGGAGGGAAGCAGTTCGGGAAAGTATTGGAAGAACGCCCATTCGGTATACTTTATTTATTATTATTCATTTCGGGTAGTCTATACCTTTCCATTTTTGGATTTTTTGCCCGTGTTTGCAGTTGTTTGGTTCGGCGGGTTTGAGGTTTGGGGGGGCCCATGCTTGAGCTAAGCTACATCCTATTTAAGCATTTGGAATCTTTGTTATGGTTAATATTCCCTTTTTGGACTATTTTGCCAGAATTTGTTTCTATTTTCCTGTGGGCCTAAGCAGCCTTTTGCAAGCAATATGCAACACCTATAAAAATTTTCAATTATGCCAAATTGATGCCCCGTAAACACGAAAAACTAAGTGTCACTCTCATTTTTTAATATGATTGTCACATTGTCACATAGTGTTATCAGTTGACTTATGTTACAAACCGTGTGTATAACTTTGTTAATATTATATTTAGATTTATGACAGATAAAGATTAATACCACGTAACAATGTAACTCGGGCATTAAAAAATTATCGTATAACACCAAAAATGCATTTAGTCAACATGAATAGCACTCAGGAACTCCCACACTCAATGAACCTCCTGGTAGTTGTTAAATATAAACAAAAGAGGACCCAGAAAGAAGATGGATTATCACATCCTAACAAGTTGTTTATTTTCAACTTAACTTCTTAATTAGAAATTTGGAATCTTCTTTTGATTTTGTTTTTCTTTTATTATCTTAAGAACTTCAAGTATTCTTGTGGATACTTTAATCCGACAGAGAGAGGACAACACAATTGCATGTACAAAAGTTAAAATGTATGAAATTACAGTTTGTCTATAATGTGTTGAAATATTTCACATCGACCATATATTAGAGAAAAAAATGTTTAACTATTATAACTTCATTCTAACTAATACCGATGTCTTTTGTGATAAAACTCCACACTTAACGGATTATGCAGGTGATAATTAATAAGTTGAGGATAATATCAATATTGTTGGAAGTGGACATTCAACTCGTCTCTCTGATAATTCAATAGAATGTCACGGATAATTTAAGCCTTTTTAAAGAGTGAGATGATGAGAAACGAAAAGGGTAACTAGGACGGTTAAGGGCTAGTTTGGTATTGATGTGCTTTGAAAAAAAAACTACTTCTGCTGTGCTGTGAGAATAAGCAGCTGTGAAATAAAGCAACAAAGTGTTTGGTAAACTTTTTTGTAAAAGTGCTTTTGAAAAAAAAAACAGTATTATAGTGTTTGGTAAACTTTTATGTAAAACAGATGTGAAAAAAAACCGGTTTTTCAAAGCTGGATTTTGCAACTTCTTGTTTTTGGCTTTTTTTCACCCAAAATTGCGAAAAAAAGCTGAAGCTGAATGTTTACCAAACACAAAAACAGCTCCCAGCTTTTTTTATATTAGTTTTTTTTCAGAATCACCTCAGTACCAAACCAAGCCTAAGTTTCAACACTCTGATCAAGTCACAATATGCAGAAAGGGGAGCATAAATAATCCAATAATGTAGGGTGTAGCCACATGATATAAAGGCCCTAGGATCTCATATATAGCGGCAGGGGTCGTGTGACGATATTTTTTTTTACATGATATATTTATATTAAGAGAATTGAAAAATAAATTGTTATTTTATTTTTATAAGAAATAAATTGTTATTAAACTCGTTACTAACTAACGAGATTCAAACTTAATATCTCACTTATATATATATAAATATTTTAATATTAAACTTGCAACTAATGAGATTTAAACTTAAAAAGTCCGTAAATGTATAAAAAATACTATTAGATTATAATATTGTGTGTGACGTGACAACATGTTAACATCGAGTGTAAAATTGAAAAGACCGGCGCACATTGGGCCTCGTAATAAGAGCAAATCCACCCCAAAACCAACTCCCCAGCACCCAGCCAAAAAAATAGGCCAGCCCCCTGTTTTTTTGCTCCAGCCCGTTACATTGCCTAGCACCCAGCCCATGCCAGGCAACAGCCCAGCACATTTTGGACTGACCCAGAAGCCGGCCTGTTTCTCAGGCGCGTGCAACACAAGCGCGCAAGGCGCGAGTGGGTTTCAGGGAAACCTGAAAAGGTGTCAGCCCACTTGGGCTCAGCGACGTGGCTTCACGATAGCCGTTGGATTTCCAACGGCTAGTTTTTCTAGACCGTTAGATTTCCAACAATAAAAAAAATTTAAATTTTACTTTTAAACTGGACCGTTCGATCAAAGATCAACGGTCCAGATTAATTAACTTAATTAAAATTTATTAAAAAATACAGAAAAATTATTAAAAATACAGAAAATTTTAAAAAAAAATTATTTTTTTCTTTCTATAGTTTATTTGATGAGTTTATGTAATTTTATTTTAGTGTGTTTTTTTTTTAAGTTTATTTGATGAGTATGTAATTTTATTTCAGTGTGTTTTTTTTTTAAGTTTATTTGAAATTTTATCCAAAATTGGTTAAAAATCATATCCGAAATAAATTTAAAAAAAAAAAACATACCAAATAAATGCGCTGGGTGCCAGTGCATTTTTTTAGGGGTGGAGATGCTTTGGTCTGTTACTGTTCACTAGGGTCTATTACTGTTCACTTGAGTGGATAAATGCGCTGGGTGCTGGCACAAAGTCCCTAGGGGTGGACTTGCTCTAAAAACATGAAGATAGTACGTATCAAATCTTAATAAAAGAACTTCCACTAATTAAATGATATGACATGACATGACATAATATATGCACAATCCATTTCATATCTTCCTCTCTTTTTTTATGGTCGAACAGTTTATTGATTGATTTTTATATTTAATCATAAGTGAAAATAGCATTAGGTGGTTAAGAGTACGAAACTATGACATCAATCATGTCATCTAAATATACATAAGGATTTGCCTCTTTGAGAGAAATGATAAGCACGCTATCTTAAAGTGAAATTTTTTATGGGTTTTTTACATACTTTTTTATAATATTGGTATAAAAATTATGTCAAAAAATGAGGTGATGGATAATCTTATTTTTTAGAAAGTCTTTTTAGCATTTCTCTTGCTGATAAATGATTACTTCGTATGACTTTTTGAAGTCTACAAAGCAATCATTGATATATGTTAGAGGAAAGGGATACTCTCCAGATCTCTTCTTTCTAATCCACCAAATTATAGAATCAGTGTCGTTGAAATTTCATCCAACGGTTGAAGTTATTATAACTTTTAAAGTA